GGCTGGGGCTTGGACTGGGGCGCTGCCCCTGGTTCTCCCGCCCACCCTCTGAGCCTTCTCTCCGCTCTCCGGCCTCGGCCCGGAGCTGTGTCTATGTCGTGCCAGCGGCCGGGGCGTAGCTCGGCCCGAAGCTAAGCAAGCGTCGCCCAGCGCCCGTACCGCGGAGGCCGCTGCCTGCCCACCCGCAGGAGCGAGCGACTTCCCGGTTACCTCAAGGGCGGCCCGTTAAAGCGAGTTCTGGTTTCACCCGTTAAAGGGAATTTTGGTTCGGCATCTGTAGAGCCAGGTTTTGTATCCTTTGCGAACTGCGTTAACGTGAATTCCCCTTTAACTGTCTCTTTAAATTTATGTGCATTGTCATTGAAACAATACTGCAGGGAAAGAAAATAGGTAGTTGCTCTGTTTTGCTGAAGGAAGACAAAATATGTTTTGTTTCCAGGAAAAAAAACAGGGTGGTCTGTGGGAACCTAGTAGCTCGTCTGCAGTCTTTCACTGAAAGGAAAGGCAGGCCTTTATTGGTTGTTGGAGGAAATAAAGGAAAGCCAGATGAACTAGTAGTTCAAGTAAGCTTGCTAATTTCCTAGGGAAATGCTATATAGTTTTTCCTATGGCTGTACTGATTTAGGTCACCTTTTCAAGTCAGTTACAGCATGTTCTAAAGTTGTGCTGTCATTGTAGCAGTCCAGAGAGCTACCTAATGAGGGATGGGCAGACCTAGTACAGGTACAAGGCGTCAGTTCTGATTAAAGGTGTGAACTAGTTGGGTGTTTGTATCTGAAATGGAAAGCCTTTGCTGTTTCTGTCAACTGCAGAAAAGTTTCAGCTGCCTGACCTGAAAAGCCTTGGAAAGGAAGAAGGAGAACAAGAGGGACATTGTTATGGCTGCTGTGAAGGAAGATGTCTGCAATCACGTGAAAGTGGTGGTCCGTGTCCGTCCAGAGTCTCAGAAGGAAAAAGATGGCAACTTTAGCAAGGTTGTTCATGTTGTTGACCAGCATATATTGGTCTTTGATCCAAAGGAGGAAGAAGTTGGCTTCTTTCACGGGAAGAGACTGGCCAATAGGGATATTACTAAAAGAAAAAACAAAGATCTTAAATTTGTATTTGATGCTGTTTTTGCTGAAAGTTCATCCCAGTTAGAAGTTTTTGAGCATACTACCAAGAGTGTAATTGATGGCTTCTTAAACGGATATAACTGTACAGGTAATTTTGTTATTTATCTTCTTCAATTCAAAAACTTTGCTAAACTCTTGAAGCTTCTGCTGTTGTACCCAGCTGCTACAGAGGCCTTAGAAAAGACTGAGATATATATATATAAAGCATTTTGGTTTGGTTTATAAATATGAGAGGCTAACTTTGTACCCTAAAGAAGTTGGGATAGCTCTATTTTGAAAATGAGTTCACATTAGGGTTATAATAGAAGTCAGAATTTTGTCTGACATACACGTGCTTATGAGGGGAGTCCTCTGAAAAGTGTTATTCGTGTAGAAGCAGTTGTGTCACTGAGTGTGTGATGGCCTGCTTTATGAACTCTCTTGAAGAGTTCTCTTGGGTTTTTTTACCTGGCAAATGAAACGTGGTGAGGAAATTAAATACATATCTACAATAATTTGATGGCTTAGGGTTATGAGAGTAAGCAAACAATATTTTCATGTAAATTGCGAGTGAGTGAAAACTCAAGTACAAATGTGATTTTTGAAATAGCTTTCTGATTATAGCTGTAAAATGCAAAGCCTAAATAAAGAAGCTTCATCGGTTTAAAAAAAAATCTGTGTGGTATGGAATGACAGAAGTGTGTGGATGCCCATTTGACTTTTGCACTCCTGATGAGCTTATTATTCTGAAGTACCTCTTTTTGCTTTGTTGTTTTTTTGTGAAAATTCAGTGCTTGCGTATGGTGCAACAGGAGCTGGAAAAACTCATACAATGCTAGGTACCCCTGAAGATCCTGGAGTGATGTATTTAACCATGATGGGTCTTTATAATTGCATGGATGAAATGAAAGAAGATAAGATATGCAATATTGCTGTTTCTTATTTAGAGGTAAGCAAGTTCTTGCATTTGGTTTGTTGCTTTTAACAAAGCATATTTTAATTTTAAAAAAGCCAGTTTTGCTTTCCATCTATCCCCCTCTTTTTAGGTCTTTACAAAATGTGTCCCTGATATTAATGCAACTGAACTGTGCTCCACGAATTTTGTTATTCATAGGTGCATGTTACAATTTTCCCGAAGGCTGCTCAAGAAGGACGATCGCATCTATTATATTTGCTAAACATTGATTTCTATGCTGCTGATCAGTTATGTACACATCAACAGATGTTTAGAGGGATAAGAAAGTATTTTTTCAGAGTTAATTTCAGGGCTTCAGTATAAAATCCTGTAAGAGCTGTGAAATCAAAAAAATCTAATTCTTTTTCAATGATGTATTGTAAAGTTTTCAATTTAGTTTATTTATCTGAGAGATAGTACAACTATTTGAGCTGCTATGCCAATAGTTAGCTCTTTACAAATATTCCTTTTGATTCTTGTTACTTTCTCTTCCCTTCTCAACTTTTTCCACTCACAGTTCTGTTTTTACAGCTAGCTATCTTGGCACTGCTGTTAAGCAGTAATAGTAAAATTGTTACTCTTCAGCCCCCTCAATCTTAATGGAAGAATAGTTTGTGGGGGAGAAGGAAGAGGGAAAGTTATATTTGCCATGTGCTTTTTCAAGTGCTTCCATAGACCAAGTAATAAGGTGTTTATGAATTTTAACAGAAATGCATTTGGATTAAGAAATATCACCAGAGTATAGATTATGAAGTGTAACGGAGGACAATAAATGGATTCATGCTTAATGCAAAAGAGGCTTTGGTAAAACAAGTAAATTTTTTTTTTTAATATAAAGATAAGAGTGAGACCCACTTCAATGGCTGAAAAAAAATTATGCAAATTGAATATTTCAAGCTCAGTATAGGAAAGTATTAAAAAATACATGTGATGATTTCTGTTTAGTTAAGTTTAATCCTGACAAGTCAAGTCTTGTAGGATAGTTTTATTAAAATATTTTAAATTACCTTTTGAAGGTCTACAATGAACAGATCCATGATCTGCTGGTCAACTCGGGACCTCTGGCTGTCCGTGAAGATGCTCAGAAAGGGGTGGTAGTTCAAGGGCTAACTTTACATCAGGTATGTCTACAGATATTGTCATTCAGGAAGCCTCACAATGTGTTTAAGAAAGTGGTGAAGTTCCCACTGATCTGTGAAAGTTGTATGCAACTTGGTAATTTCCTAGCGAGCATTTTTCTAGCTCTGATCACCTTAATAACTTGCAAACTTAATTATTCAAAAGCATGTTGTGGAAAAAACTGCTCATATTCTTCAATAGAAATTATTATCGAAAGGGTACCATTGTTTTGTTGCTCATCTTCAAGTTTTGGAAGATTTGCTTTTTGGCTAAAACATCTTAGCACTTGTTAAAGAAATTCACTGCATTCACTGCCATTGTGGAATGTTTTACATCTCTGCAATGTCTCAGGGTTGGCTTTGGTTTTAAATAACCCTGGTTGAAAAGTTTCACGTTAAATTACTTTTCCAATCCACCACAGAAACTCTTTGGCAAAGTCCATGACAGAACTTAGTCTTCCAATCTGAAGATCTACTCTTGTGGGCCTATTTTCCTGCAGCCTTTTAGTGTTTCATACTATGTAGCTTCTGGCTTTTATGTACATGGAATAACAATTCAACAGGAGATGGTGTTCTTAGTTTGACTCTGTGAACACCATCCTTCCCAAAGTTTGGGCCTTGTGGGGGGAAAATATTAGACTATCATTGGTTAATGCATTAGTACCAAAAAAAAGTTATTCTTAAATAAGACTGCATCTAACTGTGCAGATTTGTTGAAATTCTGTACTGGAAAAAAAATCTTATTTAAATTTCTGCAGTTAAGTGCTTGCTTTTCATATCTTATTGCTTTTTAACAAAAATGGTTTTTTTTCCCTAGACAGGAAATTTCTCTTATTTATAGGTAACTAAAGTTTTAAGTTCCTTTATCTTTTTGAAGGTGAATGTTAATGTACTTTTGAATCGCTGTAGAATCTCCTATAACTGACCAAAAAAAACCCATTTATTTTGTGCTCTATGCTTAAAGCCTAAATCAGCAGAGGAAATCCTTCAGATGTTGGATTATGGAAATAAAAACAGAACACAGCATCCCACAGATGTAAATGCCTCCTCTTCACGGTCCCATGCTGTCTTTCAGGTAAGATGATACAGCAGTTGCACTTAAGAGTGAACAGGTTTTAAGCCTTTTTCACAGAAGTGACTTCATACTTGAGAGAAGGGGAGAATTAAGTCCTTTGTTGAGAGTAATGTGTGTGTAAATAAATGTTTTATAGAAATACTGCAACTGCAAGTAGCATTTAAAAGTAATATTACTGTTGCTGACTAGATTGGTTCAATGAATGCAACTGGGAGTTTAATTAATGTATGCTGGTTTAAACGAAGCAAATTCACAACTATACACTTATTGTAAAGTGGTTTCTTAAATACTCTTATCTACTTGATGCACTTATTAGCAGCATTAACATAATTACAAACTAGCTAATTATTACTAGAAGTCATGGCTTATGTCTGTTTCTCATCTACTTCATCTACAAATCTGTCACACTCTGCAAAACATGTCTTACTTGCTTATCTGTTATTGCCTCCTTGGTTCCACAGATATAAATGATGAGAAATCCCAATGGCTGCTTCATTCCTCTTCATTTTCAAATTTTCTGTTACTTTAACAGTTGTTCTTGTTTGTGGAGATCAGTTATCTTTTATGTTGGCTTCAGTGCTGTTGGTAACTTTGGAGCAAGACATTTTTCTGGAGCTCACTCAAAAACTAGTAAATGTCTTGGCCCAGGACATTCTAAGCTGATTTTAGAGATGCAAGTTTTGCCTTACTGTACCATCTGTCTTAGGTTTGAAATGTCTATCTAGGTCAGGCAATTACTCCCTCTGAAACTAAAGTCCCAGGTGCTACATGGTTCTACTAAAAGCGTTCTGCTGACGGACAAAGAAATAGAAAAGATTCTGCTTCAGGGCATTTCCTGTACAACTCAAGCTTTTATAAGAATTCAAAAGATACAACATACTTTGGCTGTCATTCCACCTTTCCCTACTTCACTAATAATAGCACTGAGTTCTAGCAGAGTGTTACCAGCCTGAGATAGCTACTTTACCATGGTAAGTGTAGAGAAGTGGCTTTTTAGTTTTTGTTCAGTGCTAGAGATAATACAACAGAACTTGTAACAGACTCCCAATACTTGTCAATTTATTTTCCTGTTATAAATTGCTATGAAGACTTCATTTCTCGTGCACAAAGCTCCAGAACTGAGATATTATCATCATTGGTCAGCCAACCTTTTCCTGCTTCACTGTCTAAAAGTACGTTCATTACAGCAATAGTGTGGTGTACATCTTGAGTGCAGAACTGTCAAGCTATTTTAGCTGCAAAATTCATTTAGAGCTTGCCAATCTTAGCTACTGTAGTAAGCCCCAGCCCAGGTGGTTGCTTAATCCTCTGCATCAGGATAAGGAAGAGAATCAAAAGGGCAAAAGCAAAAGGGAAAGGGCAATACCTTGTACTACCTAATAAGTGAAGGGGGTAGAGGGAAGCATCCACTTGCCACCAGCAGACTGCTGCCCAGCCAGTCACCAAGTAATGGCTACTCTGAGAAACTTTGAGTCAGTTTGGATCAGCTTTGCCACCTCTTGCTCACCACCTTGACACTGCACAGCCACAGCTGACCAAAAGCTAAACACTGGTGTTTTACCATCAGTGTTGGAGTCACAAACCTGAAAGCACTGTACAGGCTGATGTGCAGGAAATTAACTCCATCCCAGCCAAACCTAGTGTAATTTCACTCTGCTTCTTTTTCCCTGCTAACACCTAAAGGAGGTGAGTTGGAGGTAAGTGTCAGAAATGGATGTTATTTTCCACTAGGCCAAACTACTTGTTGGTGGTAAATATGTACTGAAAGTTTTAACTTGGATTCTGAGAAAGATTCCCATAAGAATTTTTGAAAACAGTTCTTACACTGTAAAATTAACTTACTGCTTAGAGCAGTTAACTAGTTAGTGGTTATTTTTTAATTCTTTCCTTTTTTGAATTGTAGATTTACCTAAGGCAGCAAGATAAAACAGCCAGCATCGATCAAAGTGTTCGCGTTGCCAAAATGTCTCTCATTGACCTGGCAGGATCTGAACGTGCCAGAGCAACAAATGCCAAGGGGGCTCGTTTCAGAGAAGGAACTAATATTAACCGCTCCCTGCTAGCTCTTGGAAATGTCATTAATGCCTTGGCAGATCCAAAGGTATGTGCTGCTTTCCCATGCTTCACCTCTCCTGTTCTGAAAACGTTTTTTAAAATGGTAAGCTGTCAGTGAGTAATGGGGATTACATTGTTGACATTTCTCACATCATCATTTTCCGTCAAGGTGTTCGTATGGGTTGCCACCATGATCTCTGTGATAACTGATAGACAGTCACAGTGGAAAAGAGTTCTAAAAAGTAGCATGCATCTACCTAAAGATGGTGTCAAAGATGAACGTACCTGCTTTTCTTAACCCTGTTTTTCAAAAGCAAGTATATGTGGAGAAGCTTGCGTGAGTAAACAGCCGTATGAGGATAAACGTTTTCCCAGAGGTTTATGCCCTTTGATTTTAGGAGAGTAAACTTTTACAGGAGAAAATTACCCCTATCCAAAGTTGTTCTTTTGTACCTTTACATCCAACTAAATGCCCACACACATCCCCCATCATCACCCCCACCACTACTCACAGTGGTGAGTTGGTCTCCTGATCTGGATCATCAGCTCAAGAGCAAGAGCGGGAGCAGTTGTGTGGGAAAATAGCAGAAGATCAGGAGGTGTTGTTGAAGTCAAAACTACTGCCTGCAGCTACACTGCTTTTGTCCTTATGGCTGTCCAACAACTTCCTCCTTTAAAGTATGCCAGGGGAAGATGATCAGAGCTTTTGCTTCCCTTCTTGCTGCTGCACTTTGTCATAACTATCTTTTTGGAGTGGAAGGCAGAATTTAAAATCTGTACCATGGATATAAGTATGATTCTTCATTCAGACTTACTTGGTGTAGGATTGGGGTCCCAGTGACCTAACTTTGTACTGTGAGATGAAAATGCTGTAGATGTGACTGAAAAAAAAGCTTCACAAAACAGACCCTGGGTTTCCTGGAAAGACTATGAGATCTCCATCTCTATCCTTGGAGAGACTCAAAAGTGAGCATAGTCCTTGGAAACTTACTCTAGCTGACATTGCTTTGAGTAGAGGGATTGGAATACATAGAGGTTGAGAAGGACTTGTCACGATCCATTATTCTGTAAATTGAAAGCAGTTTAATGTAGTCTACCTTTTCTATTAGCCATCTACATCAGAAAAATAGTTATGTATCCAGACATTGGAAAGTCACCTAATACATGTGGTATAAAGCTATTCATCAGTTCCAAGAGATTTAAAACTGTTTGAGATGTATAGATAATTTTGAGAAAAATTACTTATGTCAAAGAAAAGTTCCAATGCTGTTTGTTGTGTTTTGTGGCATTGTTGAAATTGTAAGCAGACTTGTAGGCAGGGGAATGTCTCTAAAGTCCATAAAAATACCTGTAACCCCCTTTGCAGAGCAAGAAGCAGCACATTCCTTACCGCAACAGCAAGCTGACTCGGCTGCTGAAGGACTCCCTGGGAGGAAACTGCCGGACAATAATGATAGCTGCTGTTAGCCCGTCTGCTCTCTTCTATGATGATACATACAATACCCTCAAGTATGCAAATCGAGCAAAGGATATCAAGTCTTCTGTGAGTATGTTGGTATTTACTGATCTTTTGGCAAAGTATAGTAATGTAGTATTGAGATAATTAGAGGGGTTTTTAGAATGTAATTTCCTTCGCTTTGGTTTCAAAATTTTGTTCAGTTACTTCTTTCTTGCAGTCAGTTCTTCATCTGAGTGATTGATGTAGTACATAGAGAGCAGATACTTGTTCTGGCCCAAAAGCAATATGGCTTTTATTAATGAGATTATGCTGCCAGTTTGAAAGACTTTTCATGAGCATCAAATTGAGAAATAAGCCTTAGCTGGTAGAATTCACAACCAGTTTCAGTATGTTATTACCACTTTCTCAGAGGCCTGTAAAGCATATTAAAGAAATACCTGAGCAGTTGTACAAGAGCAGTCCAAGTTTGTTACAGGTAGACTTCAGCTAGAGCCAAGAAGCCCAACGAGCTTATATTGCTAAATGAAAACCTATTTGCATGTCCTGTCTTCTGCTTTCTACTATTAAGAATTTTTTTTTCATAATCCTTCATATTGCAGCTTTTAATTTATTTTATGTAACATGAAGTTGACTGTAGTTTCCATTTGTTGCATGCTTAAAGATAATTGTTATAATAATGTACAGGTTATACATTAAACAGTAGAACTGGTCTGAACAAATGGAAAATGTGCTTGCACATGTAAACACAAGGGGTTTTTATTGTCCTGTTGAGGGAAATGACTCAGCTTTTGCAGTCACCTATTGCATACCCATGGCCATGTCATTTTTGTTTTGCACGTCAGGATTTTATTCATCCCTTTACTCGTAATACAGTTCAAATGTAATTATGTAGTACTTGCACAGTGTCTGTTTATTACCCAGGAAAACATGAAGGAGCCTTATTAAGTTTTAACTTGCTTTTTTTTTTTTCTGTAACAGTTGAAGAGCAATGTTGTTAGTTTGGACAGTCACATAAGCCAGTATGTTAGAATTTGCAATGAACAAAAGGAAGAGGTATGTAAATATCTATTGTTAAAAGTTGAAAAGATTGTTTTAATTTTGAACAGGGGGAAAAAAGGGATGGGAGTTGAATTTATAAGGCAGTATTGGATTCATTCTCCCATATAGTCTTTTGAAGTAAGAAACATGTTTTTCCTCTTAAGAGGAATATCACCTACTGCCATCTGTAAACCTTTCCAAGACATAAGCACAGAATGGTAAGGTGTTGTTTGTTTTTTTTTTTTTTAAAAAATCAGAAAATTATATTCCAACTAAAAGGTACTTTTTTTTTTGTTTAGATCCTAATGTTGAAAGAGAAACTGAGAGAATATGAAACACAGCAAGCAAGCATTCCTGAAAATCATAATGCTGCAGTATTCTCAAACAAACAGCAAGTGGAAATTCAAAGGTAAATTAATCACATTATGATCTTACTTCAAAATTGTAGTTTGCATAACTTGTAAAAGCATTTGTAAAACAAATTTTCTAAATATTGGCTTCCTCAATTTTAGTATTGCTTTACTAGTCTGCTAGGTGTGACTATGTAACTTCTCACTTTTTTCAGAACAACTTGGTGGTGGCTTTAATACAAAACAAGTATTGTGTACTTGAGAGACAGAATTTTAAATGTAGCAGAAAAAGTACTGTTATATTTGAATGTTATGTAATAAAGAAATACCATTAAAGGGAAAATAATTGAACACAATTGTAACAGAAGCTTATTGATCTGTCAGTGGAACGGTCTTACTTGCAGGATGATAGAAATCTATCTCACACAAGTTTTAAAACTAGGCAGAGTCCTTTAAGAAAAGCTAAAAAAAATATCTTTCTGTTAGGAAGCTTACCTTCATAACTCCAAAAATGTGGAAGTGTCTAAAAAGTAAAAGTAAGTTACTACAGTTTTAAATGTATACAAGCAATTAACTAGTCAAGATCTAATGTCTGTCTCCCCAAAATGTATTAATTTTACATTTAATAAGCAAGTCTAGAACACTTTAGAAACTTTTTTAATAACTGGGAATGTGTTACCAAATAGAAGTAGACTGTTCCTTGCATGATAGAAAATCCCAGACTAGATGGTTCTATTGGTGTTTTCTCCTCACACTCTAGTTCAGTTGTTTTAGTAACAGGGGGTCGGGAGGCGACACATACACGTGGCAGTAAGGAGCACATGAATTTTAGCTTTCAGGAGGGTTTTTTTGTAGGAAGACAGAATGTAGTTTGTTTAATGGCATCAGCTGCTGCTATTGCTGGCAGGTAGTTCAGCAGTATCTTTGCTGCAAGGCTTAAGAGAGGCAAGAACTTCAAGCTGTTTCTGCAAAGGGTTTAATCTGTAGATTCTTTACTTCTTATTGCTTTTATATTTAGTCTTTTTCTTCTTGGTGATGTTCCTGTCTATCTTTTCTGATGTGACAGTCTGTTGTGAGAGCACACAAAAAGTACCAAATTAAAACATGTAATGTATGAGTTTGCTGCAGAAGTCAATCTAGTCCATAAGAAAGCTAGAGTTCTGGTGTGGAAGTCTTTCTGGATCTGTCTCTGCATATCTCATCACACATTTCAGAGAGCTATTCAGCTAAGCTAATTCAGTTAATTTTTTTAATTGGCCCTTTGAATGTGGATTTTTCTTTTTTAAGCTGGAAAACCTTCTGAGTGAAAGTAAAAACACATTCAAAACAAAATGCTCTCTAACTAGGCTTCATTTTACTGGCATTCCAGAAATTTCAATAAATCTCTCATTCAGATGATTAAAATTTAATTTTCAAAAGAAGCATAGGTTTCTAAGTCATGTTGATAGTTCAGACAGTTTTCCTGCATTTTTGCCCTGTTAAGTCTTTACGGTTAATTTCCTGTGATTGGTACTTTATTTCATTCAATGTGTGGGGGAAGAATTCTCAAGAGCAGGGTCTCTACATCTGTCATTTTGAGAAGACTTTTTACTCTATGATAAAATTTGTTGATCAGAGAATGTTCAGGTTTTAAGTTTTTGTAATGTTTGGCTTTTAACATTCTGGGATGTTCATTGACCCATGTAAGCCTATCCCATTCCCTCTAGATATTGGAAATAGTGGATGTTTCATTCTCTTCCTCATGAGAATGCTGTCAGGTTTATCCTATTGATGATGTGGGTGATGAGTTGATTCACATTCATTTACAGGTTTTGAAGGTATTCTGCTGTCTTCTCCCTTCTGTTCTGGACAGGGTAGAGAGCCTTATCCAGTGTTGTGTTTTAGTCCAACTACTTAGAGCTTTTGCTTCATTGTTACCTGGAAGAGACTGACTGCACCACTTCCTACTCCAAACCCAGAGATCATTTCTGCTCCATCTGTTGTCCAAGGCATGGAGATGTATTGTCTGACAGCCTTTCAAGTCTTGAGCCTGTTGAGGTGAACAGTGGAGTACCACTGACAGGTCCATGAGTTCTTGGAGACTAGGTAGCCCAGAGAGTTCAAACCCTGGATATGCCCGCAGGATCATTTTGTTATTTTTAAGTGGAGAAGAATAACTCCATAAGAATAGGAGTGTGCTTACTGAGAGAGTGACTGTATGTAGAATCAGAATCTGCAGCTTCTTTTAAAGTATGCCCAGGACTTTACTGTGAGGGAAATGGAGAGAGAGAATTCACCTCCATTTCTTACTGCTGTTTCCCAGGCAGTTGGAAGGAACAATGTTTCTATGGATACTATAGGGAAAAAAAATTCTCCGAATAGTTGTGCAAGACACAGTAAAGTAGTGCACATTCTATAGATAGTAACAGTGTAGGGTAGGAACTCCAGTAGTCTGCAGCTGACTATTTTATTCCTTTAAAGAAATATTACTTTTAAGTTCTGTGTTTTAGTACATGGTTTTTATCTAGATGCAATAGCATTCTCTGGACACTTTCAGGTAAAACTGAGTTTCTAAAACTGTAGATAAGAATTCTGCTTTTGAACTGGAAGTAATAAGATACTAGAGTAAAAGACTTGGAGTTATTCAGATTTCAGACTATGAAATGGAATTAATTCTGAAACACTGGGAAGAAGACAACTACATTGCAAGAACATCTCTTCAGCTTTCTCTTAAGTTGAACCTATGTTATTTTATAGCATTTTTATGGCATTTAGTTCTATGGCATTTTCTACTAAATGCTGTATAACAACCTCAGATGTTATGTCTTTAAAATATTGGTCTGTTAAATTCATATCTGAAGTTCTATTAAGTCAATAGGATATTAAAAAATGGCTTGTATGCAAGGTTAGTCATTATTGAGATGTAGGGTATCTTTTGGACTCTCTGGTACTGTCTTTTCAGTATTCAGGAATGAAGTGAAAAAGTACAAAAATTTGCATCCCATTTCCAGTTTGAGTACCTGAAATCTTGTATTGGCAATTGTAATGCTCATCTATAGCAGACTTTACTTTTTTCCTCCTAACTCTTCTATATTTATTTCATTAACTTGGAATTGAAAGTTCCCCTTGTAATGGAAACAATTATAAAAAACATCTTCAGTAAATAATCTGTTATTTATTCTTATCCTTTGGTTCTAACAGATACACAGAAATCCTGAAAAATGTGTTTGCAAACCGTGAGGAAATCAGAAAAGAATACATCAAGTTGGAAATGCAACTGAAAGCAAACACACTGAAGACACATTACCAGAAACAATGTCATGAACAAATACAACTGATATGCTCTGAAGAAAGAGTGGAAAAGGTGAGTTTTCTGTCATGTAATACAAAGTATCATCTCTCATCATTTTGCTGTACCAATGTATGAATTTTGCAGAAGTAATTATCTTGTTAATGCTTAAATACTTAATTCAAGTGGGACACGCTGATTTTCACTTGGATAATGTTTTCTGACATGAATACAGAAAATGCAGGAGTAATGCCAGGTGTGCTGTATCTTTCTGCACTACAAAGAAACTGATGGTGCTTATTGCTGCAAATTGTGAAAAATTTCCAACTTGTCCATGTGTAGGCTTGATTGTCATATTGCACTAAGACCTGACTAGACTGAGGAGACTCATGGTGCTCGTGTCCAAAACCAAAGCATGTCGATGTGTTTATGGTACAGCCACTGAAGCTGTTGCCAAGCAAATCATGTGTTTCATAAAGAAAAGTGTGGACCTTGTGCTGAACAAGGTGGATTCTTATCATTGATGTTTTCACTTGTCACCAGGATGCTGGGATAGCTGCTTAAGGACAGAGTCAAGTGAACTAAAATAACTACATTTAGTGAACTTGAATTTTGAGAGAAGAATTTGGGGCCTCATTATCAGCAATTGCTGATGTGCAGCATTAAGTGCTTGTGTCTTTCTAGAAAAATCAAAATATAAATACACAAGCAAGGTTAGATAGTGTTTTAACTTTTCTGAGATGTCAGCTTAAAGGAATGTTTTATGTAGATACAAAGTTGAGGATGGGGCTGATTTTGCTTAGTCACAGTAACAGTCTGTATTTGACCCAAAATGATAGTTTACCATATGACAATTTTTTTATTCCCCAGTGATTCACATGAAATTTGATCCTTAGATAAATGTCAAAGTTAAAAAATATATCACTTGGTTTCATTTGTCATTAATGAAGATATTTCAAGTGACTAACATGTTCTAGAATTCTCTTTTATGCCATAGAAACTCCAAAGTAAGATTTTGTATCTGTGCCATACTCCTAAGTGCTGCTTACAGTGGAGCATGGCTGTCTCTCTATTGGAAATGAGGAGTTAGACCTTCATACATTGTTTCATACAAGTGGTTTTTATGAGCTAATATAACTTTTAAATTGAATGTTAGCAGTGCTGCACTCAAATGTGGTTTTTTTTCCATGAGTTAACTCGGGTCTGTCACCTCAATAGTGTGTCTCCTTTGGCTGGGTAGGACAATACCTCGTTCATATCCAGATTGCCATTGCTGGTTTTGTACCTTTTTCTTGTCAGACTTCAGAGTAGCATCAGAAGAATTTTGATGCTTGAAGATAGAGGAGTTTGCTTTTACCAAATAATTTATCCTTTAATGGGCTATTTCTGGGATGCACTGGATTAGAAAAACAAAGGAGATAAAACTCCTTCATGTTCATGCTGGAATTAATAGGTACTGTTAGTTATATCTAGAATTGTGTTTGTATGTACACGTGCAGCTTTTGCAGTCTTTTCAACTTAAGATAATTGTGACCTAGAACAGAAGTTGGTCAAATCCAATGTATTATTCTTTGAAGGAATCATCAAACTGCTATAGCCTGTGTTATACGGGCTTGCCAGAAAAAAAGTTTCAAAGTGTTTAAATATAATTCAGTAATGCATGTAAGGGAGAATATGCTATTTCACTTTCAGTAAGCTGGTCAAAAGTGCATTGTTGTGCTCAATTTGAGTATAAAATACGGAAAAAATCTTTTTCATATCTAGAGATGTTTGTAAACATCGTTTGAAGGTTTTCCCCTTAAATGCTGATTTTTTTTTTTTTAGGCCACTTGCAAGCGGGATCAAAGGCTTGCAATGCTAAGAACCCACCATGTACACATGCAGAAGAGGAAAGAAGAGGAGATGGAACGTTTTGAGGAAAATAACAGTTGGCTGCATCGTGTTGAAAATGAAATGCGCCTCCTGAGTCAGGATGGGTGTATTCCAAAGGTAAAATACATAGTTAAGAACACTTTTTTTTTTTCTTCATCACGATTCTAGTCATGGATTCTGCCATTCTTTCAGGGTGGTTTCAAATTCTAGTATTGTCTCTTTCTGTTCTGCCCTAAAAGTACTTCATTGCTTGTGCAAGTATATAATTAGACAGAAAAATGCATGCTAAAGGGGGATAAGTATGCTATGTCTGAACAGTTCAGATGGCTGCCAGAGTGCTGATCCTGCTCCTGACTAGATACACTTCTAGTCTGGCTTTACAGTAGCTCCTGATGATTGTTGAACCATGTGACAACATAATACTTAACCTGGTCAAAAAAACCTTCTTTTGTGGGTGCTAGAGGAGGAGTGGGAAGGTGGAAAGTAGGAAGTTATGTTAAGCTCTCTGCCAAATTTTAGCACGTAGAGTTGGCTCTGTGTGGCCTCAGACAAGCACCAGAGCTGGCAGAAGCCATGGGATGAAGGTATGTGCAAGAACAAGGAGAAGAAGAAAAGAAGGTGAGGGGTTGTTCCTCCCTGTCTCTTGGTTTCAGCCAGCAACTGGAGTGGCTTAAAAGATAGTGTAATGAGCATGTAGGTGACTCATATACTGGAATATATTTAAATACTTGTATTTTTATTGGGATATCTAAAACGTGTTGATACCTTGAAAGAAGTTAACTTCAAGATATTTTACACGGGCTACTAGAATTTCAGAAAGGTGACTGAGTATGCAGTAAAGACTTGTCCCAGACAGTGTCACTGAAATTCAGATATGGAGCAAGTACGCAATAAGAGTCAAACTTATTTTTTGATTGTGCAGAGATAAACATACATATGTCTGTAGGATCCTTACTACCAATTACAGCACACCTATGTTTGGTCAAAGAAATACATAGAGCAATGTTTATGTATGACAATAAAAATCAAACAATTCATACTTTTCTACCATAAAACTTTCTTGTAAACATGGACTGGATCCATATTACTTCTCAATATAGGATGAACTAATGTTAATTTCGGTTGAGATTTTCTCACTCTGACTGCGGTTGTTTGGTCTTTTTTTTTTTTCTTGCTAATTTCCCAAGGAACTTTGTAAAGATCTGCAGTATTGCCATTTAAACCTAGAAGTTAAGGACCTGAAAGCCCAGATTGAACACATGTTATCTCTGGTGTCTCTTCAAGACCAGCACTATAAGCAGACAGAAAAGTAAGTATGATTTTATAGCAGGTGTGATAAGACTTCTGTTCTGATGTGCAACTGCAGAAGACATATCTACAGAATCTAGGCTTTGTTGGAAGAGAAGCAAGATTTACCTCAAACTTTCTAGATCAGAATTTTACTTTTCTTAAACAAAAAGATATGTCAAATAATCACTTCATAAACCTTCCTCTGTATCCAGTATTGTTTAAGAGAAACTGCAGGTGTGCTCTAGTGCTTCATATTTCTTGGTTTTCTTCTCTGTATAGCTTTTACAAATAGTTCAATAGATCAAGGTGTCTTATTTTCTTCTGTCAAACATCGGTATTGATTTTTTATGTTTGTGTTAGCTTTTAATTTCTTGCACTGTAGACATTAATTTACCTGTAATAAATTGTTGCTATTAAACTCTTACGTAGCTAGTCAAACTGAAAAAAGCTGAATTTGCAGGTAAGCATCAGATCTTTTTCTGTTATCAGTTTTGAAAATGTTGGGGCCTAGCTTTCAGTGTGATGTGTGGAATGGGAAGTAATTGCAAATCTCTTCAGTAAATAAGTATATTAAGTTTATAACTAAATAATTTCAAAATTAAATAATCAGCTTTTCTTCTTGCTTTGGCGAAAAGGCTGGTACCATAAGCATTACAAAAGCTAATGCATAAACCTGAAAAAATTGAAAACAAAATTTTAAAGCTACATGTTTGGTAATTACAAATATAACAAATCATTTTTGTCTTGCCTCTTGTTGTTTTAGAGTACTCAATACTTTGCTCCCCATTCTTCGCAAGCAGTACCTGACTTTGCAAGAAGCTGGGTTGACAACTAGCTTAACTGAGGCTGAATTTGAGGAGGTTGAGCAGCTGATTCAAAGACAAAAATCAGTAGTTTGGGCTGACCAGACTGAAGAAAAGGAAGAAAGTCAAAACTGTGAACTAGACTTGTTGGGTCTCTTTGCATTCCCACAACTTGTGAACAGACCAAACACCCCCTGCCGTAAGTATATAATTAAACTGCATAACATACTTTGTAACTATATGTTGGTTGTAGAGATTCTGTCTTGTCATATGTGGGTTATTGTTCTGAATTTTAATTCCTGGCGTGAGTAGGCTTCATTATGGTTCTTGATTAGTCTACTTCTGTTCTACTTTTATGAAGTCCTGTGTTGGAAAAAGCCGTATCTGTTTTTATTGAAATTAACACTAATAAAAATTGGTATGCAATTTGAATAACAGTTAAGGCATCAGCTTTGCACTCCATTAAAATCATCAGACATAACTTGAGGAGTTGTTTTAAAAGTCTTACATGGAGGTTTTCCAATTATTCTCTTGTTCTAAATGTTGCTGAAATGGATGTTCACCTAAGTAAATGTACACCATATTTTTCAGTTAAGATGGATTTCTTTCAGTTATAAATGCTGTCTTTGCCTGCAGATGCCCATAGAAATCTTTTGTAGTGTTTTTATTCACTTCTTCTGCAGAAAAGGAAATAGGAGACATTATCACTTCTTTCCCCCATCTTATTAGATGCAGGATAAAACATGTTAGAAATTATAATATTTCCTGTAAAGGTTACAAAATTTGGAGGAAAGTTCTTTCTGAAAAGACACTTCTTGTTTGTTGTTTGGTTTTGGTGTCTGGTGTGTTTGTTTTTTTTTTTTTTTATGGTCTTCATCTGATTGTGTGCTCTTTCCATTTGCTTTTGACTAGTAGCATAAAGATATTGTTCATTTTAGCAGACGTTGTCAGGATTTCTTTTAAAATTATGGAACATTTTTAATCTTTACAAAGAATCTACCTCTTTCTCACTGGCAGCTCCAGCTGGTGAGCTAACAAAGTTATTTTTTCTGCAAGACTGCTTCGTAGTAGAAGACTTACTGTTCAGTATGTAGCCATTGTACAAAAATTCCTAAACATCAGTCATTGTACAGAATAACAGAGTAAGACACATTGCTACTAGGTACTAAGGTACTGAGAACCTGATATTAGACATTCAAATTTTAAATTGAGATGGAATCGAGAATTGACTTTGCATACTGGGAGGAGTTAAAATGCTGAAAATGATCAGTTGAACATTTTAATTTTAAAAGATTCAGACAGCAAACATGAAGAGTAGCAGTTATGCACAGAAAAAAAAATCTTTTCAAACAACATTTACAGTATAATTAATGTTACTGTGTCCTTACCTAAAATACTACTGTGTTGACAAAATCATTTCCATACACCCTGGGAGGTGGGGTGGAAAAAAGTCATACATCTGCCAGTACTTCAAAATTTTTTTTTTCAGTTCAAAATCAATGCAATAAACTAGCTCTTCAATTGTTTGTTTGAACTCACATTGAAAATACGTTGAACTATAAGCTGATATTATGTTGTGGAAATACACTTCTCTTATGTGGAATGTATAAAACTATTAAGGGGGGGGAAAAAAATCAGGAAAAAGCAATATCATGGGAAAATGTGTAGTACAAGAACAACATTCCAATCAGAAATGGGAAGGATGCAGTAGTTTTTCTTTAAAGATTAAATAAATTATTCAAGAATCCAATTCCTTCTCCCTAAAGTCATCTCAGAATTATGCTTGGCAAATGTTAGCCAGTGCTGACCTAAGAACTTAGTGAACAAATAAAAAAAGATGATTTATACAAATCCCTTCACACCTTTGGTGCATTGATATTTTATTATTTATAATTTGTTCAAGATGTTAGGAAGGATATAGGGGTTTGCATGAAGATGAGAAAAACAACCACCATTAGCCACGTGGTACACAGCGGTCATTATTCCTTTTCTAAAAATCCATATTTCACATGCAACATAACTGCATGACTTCTAGCAGGAAAGAGCAATGCAGTTCACTTTTTGATTCTTATTTTTCATGTTAAAAGTTGAGACCAGTAACTTTTTTATCTACCGTTTAATATAAATATGTCACGTTGTGTTAGTGTCTCAGAAGTTTCTTTTCTAAACTAGCAGAGAGGGTAACAAAGTTAATTGGTGACAATGTAATGGTGCTTTGATATGAAATGTAAGTGTAGAGCATCTCAGCTGAAGAGAGTGTACTAGGCTTGCTGGTAACTGATGTGATGTATTGCTTTTGAATCCATGTGAACGCGTTTGAAAGAACATTTTCTTTTGAGATCAAATCCCTCTTCAAGGAAGAGATGGTACTCATGTAGAAAACAGTAAGATTTATGAGGAAAATACAAATTCTTCAGTGTAAGCTTATAGAGTTAACTGATAACTTGTTAAACTCAAAAGTATTTAAGGATGTGTGCCATGTCTATGTGGTGCTTGTATTTGGAAATTTCAAATTCATTAACTACAAGTTACTGACATGGTAATGATGCAGAAAAAACACCTGTACTTAAACCAAATTCTGTATGTTGTAAAATATGAGGCACCAATCATTGTGTAAGCTTTAATGGCATTATAACATTTTGCTGGCAGTCCTTTTGGGGAGGACAGTGTCACTGTTCAGATGTAAATGAATTGTGATTAAGTATTTTCACATAAAAATTAGTATGCTTTAAGTCACATAAATAACTTCTAAGTACTGTCCCCAAAAGGCTGAAGCAGCTAAATAATTTCTGTAGAACAGGAAAAACTGTGAAAGGAGGGCCTTAACTTGGGTTTCTTTGGAATTTACATTCTACTAGCTGATCCTGAAGAAGGAAATCAAACTAGTAATTTATGTGGAAAAAGAATGTAAAAAGAGTAAAGGGAAGGATAGCAAAGGTGGAATAAAAATCCCTACCCTTACACGTTTTGAAAGACTCTTTCAGATAGAAGTTTTGAAAAATATATTCCAAATGTGTTTACTTTATTGTATGAATTGGTTTGGTTATTACCTTGTTATAAGATTCTTCTTGCTATCAGGAGTTTCAAAATACCAAAACCCTTCATCTGAATTCCAGTAATGTATAAATCTTTGTTTCTAGTGATGGTTCCTTCCTTGGAAAGGGTTTCGTTTCGTAGTCATGGCAGGAGAGGATAACATTGAGATACTCTGGCCATTCATTCAACATCTGTTTCTATGGTCAAGATATCAAGATAGAGGTTTTTAAGCACAAGAAGTGACTGATTTTTAGAGAAAGCTAATAAGCTTTGCCAAAGCACTGCAGGAATACACCTCTTTCTGTTTTGTTTTTCCTTGAACCTTGGAACACCTTCTGTAAAATGTCTTGCTCTGAGAGTCTGATGTGTGTCACTAGCTGGCTGTTAATGAGCAGCCTCGGACAACCAAGTAACGTTGCTTAGTCATCTGTATCTACAGTGGCACTACCATGGGTGCCAGAAATAGCTCTCAGGAAAATCACTTTCTACTAAGCTAATGTTTTTGCTCTTCTGGTTTGTTTAGACAGTGCCATATTCATGCAGCTATGCATGACAAGTGATTTGATCTAACAAACACTTGTTTTGTAGTGCATGCTAACACATTCCACATGTTATGATTCAAGGAGTATTTTGTAAAGAACAGAGTATCTGAATCTTAAATCTGTTTGTGCTAATTTGATGTGGATTTTTGTCCTCTACCACTTCCTGATTTTCAATATAAAATGCCCTCAAATTTAATCTGAAATGAAACATTTGAATTATATTTTAATTTCTAATTGTTAATTAAATAATTTACAAATATTTAGGCAGCATTAATTTATCCCACTGAGTGTATCCATGTCATACCTTTTTTTAAATTACTGGTTTTCTTTGGTAATTTAATTTTTGCTTCTTAAAATATGACAAACCATTTTTTTTTTTTTTAAAACATCTACTCTTGCTCGTTCTCATTATGAAGTTGTAACGTGGAATTTTCGTAATGTGTCTTAACCATACTTTCTACTGTTTATTAAAAGGGAAGATATTTTTCAACAATTGCTTCATCAATATATGCTCCAATTTTTAAGCATCCACCCATCCTATTTATTCTGACCTTAACTGTAAATGAGAATTGTTTTGTAGAGGAAGTGCTGGTTTTCCACTATCATTTTTGTTCACAGATATGGTAAAAAAATTAAGCTATTGCATGCTTCATGAAACCATAAATGTGCAAACTCATGAACAACTTGACTATTTATATCAAGTAAAGCAGAAGCTATGAAAACAACATAAAGTTCCTTTAAAGATGTGTTTTGGCCCCCATTCTTGTGTCCTGGTTAATGGAGAGCCTTGCAGTATTCTTAGAGCATGGAGTGATGAGCTCTGACTGGTATTTGCAAGTGTTTCTGTGAATGGGAAAGTTCTTGGCATTGTTTCAGGCATCCCATTTCCGGAAGCCTTACTGTACATTACCATTGAGAGAATGGAATTGATTTACAGGAAAAAAAAAAAGGCATCCATTACTTTCCCTTGTCACAAACATCCGAAAGTAAAGTCTATTTATTATTTTGCATGGCAGGAAAAATTGGAGTGTAGCTGTACATAGTAAAAGACGTGATTAAAAGTAGGAAAAGCACATCTTGTATATAGGAAAGATTTCTCTTAGTTGGAACAGCTTTTCACACTGTTTTTTTCTTGTGTACACCTGACCTCTGGGTCTCACAGGAATGCAGCCTGGATTTTAGCCTTTTTCAGTTCCCAGCTGGTTTTTGTGAAACTGTTGTCAGACTGGCCACCACAGGGATGCCTTTGGGTCACATGAGTGTTAAAGAATCAAAACGCCTTCACTAGACCTCATTTGCAGTTTGGGATTCCAAGAGTCAGTTGTCAAAAGAATGGAAATGTATGATTAGTATTGTAATTGGATCAATCACTGGTAGCCCAGAAATGTTTATTGAAATGAATACATTAATATTTAATTTCACTTTAGCAGAATAACCTGATAGACTTAATTTAGCACAGTTTCCAGAAATAAACCCCTTATGCATGTATTAACACAAGCTCCAGAATACAAGTCTTCACCATGGTTTTGTCCCAAACATCAATTAGGACTAACCCAATTCATCAGCGTTGTTCTGTTGTGAACTCTGTCTGCTTCTGCTGTGACTCATGTTTCACAGATAC